CAGGATAAAATTATTGTGATATGAAATACTACCCGTATTAAGAAGGAAAAGTTTATTGATACATACACTAATATGAAAGATTTTCACAAATTAATGTGGTGTGAAAATACCAAGACACAACAGTGTCCATCATATGATCCTGTGAAATTCTATAAAATACAAGTCTAATCTATAGTGACAGAAAGCAAATCACTGATCATTAGCTTTGAGGGAGGTAGGGATTAACAACAAACATCTTTGGGAAAATGTTTTAGGATGAAGGAAATCTTATATCTTGATTGTGGTGGTAAATCATGGGAGTATTTATATTTAAATTCACTGAACTGTACATTTAAAATGGATATATTTATGTAGAGTATACGTCAATAGACTTGATTTTTAAATCCATCATCATTCTGTTGTGAAGAAGAAGAATGGTATCTGGAATAAAAGTTCATTTTAAATAAAAGATCCTAATTTCAAGATGATTAGGCATCTAATAAAGTACCTGACATTTCTTTCCAACAATAAACTACCATTGATCACCATTTATGCAAATTATAATATTGAAATAACTCATTAAAAGTAACTTTTGATGAAAATATATATATTACAAAGTTCCTAGGACAAAAGTCATACTTCTGGCTTTTTACAGAGAGAGAGAGAGACAGATACACACACACACACACACACACACACACACACACACACACACACACCACATCACCTGCCATTTTCAAATTCTATGAGGATGTTAATTCTGTTGTTTAACATTATCACTTCATTATTTAATACCTTCCTAACATTGTAGGCTCTGTGAGAACATGAAGGGTCACTCCAAGCAGACAGCGTACTATTACCACCATCATGGAAGAAGAGAGTGGGAAGGAAGCTATTTTAGTGCAGCACAGCTAGGAGGAAGAAGCCCAAGAGGCAGAGTCTGGCTGATGCACCACTAAGGCATTTCAAGTTAGAGAATCCATGACCAAATCTGTACCATCAGAATGATTACTCTGATGAAATTCTAGTATTAATGAGGCAGGGGGATATGGGAAAATTGGAAGGCTAAAGAGTATAGATAAAGGGGTTCTACTTGATCATGATAAAATAGAGGAGGTTAGAGAGTATTCTAGGATGAGTTTTGACTTAGAGATTTCACCTGAAGTAATATCCACCAAAATGGAACATATAAGAGGAAAACTAGGTTTGGCGAAAGTAACAATGATTTCATTAAAAGTAGGTTTGAAGAGGGCTGGGATTTAGCTCAGTGGTGCTGCTGCCTGCCTCGCAAGTGCAAGGTCCTGAGTTTGAGTCCCAGAACCAAAAAAAAAAAAGTAGGCTTGAGGACAGTGACAATGACTTCATGACACAATGAGTCTGAGAAGTAGCCAGCAAGCCAAATAAATCTGTGGATATGAAGTAAGGAATGATCTGGGCTAAAGTCAAAGATAGAAGAGTATTTTAGTCTATTTTCTTCTACTATAATGGAATGGGTAAATTATAAACAATGGAAGATTATTCCTCTCATGGTTCTAGAAGCTGGGAAAACCAAAATAAGGCAGCATCTGGTGAGGGTTTTCTTGCTGTATCACAACATGGCAGAAATACAAGTGAACATGCACAAGACAGACAGGAAGGGTTGGAATAAATTTCTAGCAAAACACTCTCACAATAATGGCTTTCATCCATTCATGAGGGTACAGCCCTCATGGCCTACTCATCTCTTAAAGGTCCCACCTCTTCATATTGTTAGAATGGCAATTAAATCTCACCACGAGCTTTGCAGAAGAAATTCAAACCACAGAATATAGCGGAGTTAAAAATAAAACCCTCAACCTGTAGAAGAGACAAAAACTAAAAATATAACCCTGGAGAGCCTCAGCATTTTTATGAGTAGGCAAAAGAAGATTCTAAATCAATGATGAGATTTTGCTTTCAGGGACATAGAAGGCAAATATGACAAGAGTTCTACGACAGGGAGTTGTCAGCAACCACCAAATACTTAAAAGTCATCAAGTGCAAGACAAACATATTTATCATGTAGGAAGTCAGTGGTGACCTTTCCTAGAGCAGTTCTAACACAACACTTCAGACACAAACCAGAATACAGTGCTCTGGTGAGTAAACGGAAGTGAAGAAGCAGAGAAAGTCAGTGTTCACTACTATGTCAGTAACTTTGGCTATGAAAGAAAAGTGAGCATTTGGATCAATAACAGGGGAAACACACAATGAAGAATTGGTTTTCAAGGTGTGGCTTGGGCCTGTTTATCTGCTAATGTAGCAAGATTCATGGGGGATGAGTAAGATGACAAAGTAAAGGTGTTCAAGGGAATGTTGTGGGATTCACAGGTGATGCAGTGGTGGAACTAATCACAGACAAGAAGATTCATTTTTCTGTAACTTCTGAGAAAAAGACTCATGATAAAGGTTAAGTGGTTGAGAGGGTGGAAAGGTGCTGATAAGCTTAATGAAGCGCCAGTTAAAAAGTAAAAGCCTCTGTTGAGAAAAGAAGCTGATCCTGTGAGTTAAAGAGCAATGAAGGTTGGAAAAGGTTCTGAAGAGAATGAAATATCTCAGTAGCACAATTAAGGCCTCCTCCTTTCTAATTAACCTCAGTCTATGTATGTAGAAATATAAGATAATGACTGTCACATAAAGAATTCTGAATAGTGTACATGCTGCTTTATATAAAGCAGTGTTTCTTGGCTTCCTAGTAGGAGCTTGACACTTCTAGTGCTTCCTGAGGAAGACATGTATTTGGAATCTTCTAAATGTTGTAATACTCAACATTTTTTTGTGTGATCTCTGTAAGGACTAAGAATGGAAACTCTACCCATGGAACAGAGTTTCCTTTCAATGTTACACCAACTGACCTAATCTAAGAGTCAAACTCCAAAAATCTTAGCATACTGGCATCAGTCACTGTCATGTTTACATATGACCTCATTCTATTCTAAGCTATGATCTATGATCTATATTTACAATTTTAAATTGCAAGTTACACCTTTCATGTCAAATTTTCCAAAGACTTGCATAACAAGCAACTGAAAAAAAGAATCTCATAAATGCTCCCTAGTGGAAAAACTGCACATGCAACTACCTGTTTACATATGCAGTAACTTGAATTATACATGAAAATTCCACATGGATGCCCAGAATCAGCACTGTGTTAACTCAAGAAGTATATTAATTTTTGGATGTATTTAGTAGCAAATCATAAGAAAAATCTGTTCTTTAAACTGAGTTTTCTTTTTTAAAAATTTAGCTAGTTGGAATCTACTATTTGAAGGAATCTACTATTCCCCGGAAAAATAATTTCATATAAATATTAATTTTATAATTCGTTAAAAATGAGAAACAAAGCCTTAAAAATTCTTAGAAATCAATTCCATATTTAGATCTTTTAAAAAGCCTAGAGTGCAATTTCCCTATCCTACAAAACTTAGGTCATACTGAAAATAAAATTTAAATGATAAATGTCAGTTGCAGAAGTTATCACCTTTTTATTTGAATGCTTTGACTTCTATTGGATAATTCTCTTCCAAGAGACCTTCTTGGGAAAAAGAGGTGACAGCCAACTCATTGCCTAATTGATTTAGGAACAGTGCCCAGGGAGACAGTCCAATTAAGTTTACAAGCTGGCAATTAGCAGGAAGCCCTCTAAATCCCTACACTGAGAGCCTGTTTACTTTAGTAAGAAGGCAATGTGCTAGAGATAGGAAGAGAAAGCTGTCCTTTTTGCAAATCTGTTGTGAGTAGACCCACAAGGGAGGGCTGAAGAAAAGCTAGGTGTATGTGGGCAGACGCCTTCTGTTTGACAGGTAACTGAGTAATTTAAAGAGTGACAGGGACAGACAGAGAAAGAGAAAAGGAACGGGAGAGTGTATGTGTGTGTTTTAACAGACATGCAAAACATCAAACACCCACTTTAATTAGTGTTGTGTATGGAGACATACAACTGTTAAACATGTAGTTGGGCAAAGTATAACTGGATTATCTCATAATAAATGACACTTCACAGATTTTTTTCTTGCACAATTATTAACATTATGGATTGATTTACCTGCATATTTCTTATGTAGAAGGAATACAGGCCATACATTAAAAGCATTACATCTTATAGGTTAATCAAGTCATTTTCACTGGGTTTTTTTCATGTATTCAACTTCAGGGACAAGTACACTCATATAAGAACAGAGTAAATGGAAAGGTATTTAACGAATACCACAATGCCTTTAAATACTGTGCAAGAGGCAAATTTATAAGAGGTTTTAAAATATATTTACTTTTCTATCTATTCAACTTGCCATAATGTGTATTAATTAGAATTTATTTTTTAAAACTTAGGTTCTCTCTGGATATTAAATTATACAAAAGTATCCGGAATTGTTATTGCTATTTTAGGACATGTGATGATGTAATGCTACAAAAAGTAAATGAATTAGTATAATAAAATTTCATTTTAAAATTTCTTGGTTGAAATGAGCTACAGTAACATATAATTTTGTAGATACTGAAAAATCCTTTTCAATATTTGTATTCAAAAGGGAGATAAAAACAAAAAGTTAACACAAAGAGCTTTAGTAAATTCTAAGTATCTGCTTTCTTTTTTTACAAAAACACTTGCTTCATACAGTTCTACACAGGGAAGCAACAGTCACAGATAATCTATAACAATTTTTATACAAAAAGTGTTACATTCCTATAGCACAGTGTTTTTCAATGGATGTAGGAGAAACTTTTAAAATATTCACCTGTTTCTTAAGGAATGCTTCAGTAGGACAGTTTATTTTAGAGAGTATCAATGTGAAAGTTTGTATTTTTCAAACATCATGATGGTCAGTAAAATTTCTAAATTCTTTAATATCTTTTATTCCTTTGACATTTAGAAATCATCTGCAAAGGCTTTCTAAGAAAACTATATGAATGACAAATACAAAAATATTCCGAGAATGGTTTTATGGCCTTAGTTATGTCAATATCACCAGTAGTATACTAACTTACCAACTTTCTTGACTTACCAAGTTTAAACAAAAGCACACCTAAAGGTCCTCTGTCAAACATGAGGAAGAGGCGATCATAGATGTCCTTACTTTCAGGCTTCTGGGAAACAACTGGAGGAGCTATCCACTTCATTTGAACAAGACTGCTGGAAATATCAAAGAATTTACTGAATTGAAGAGTCTCCTTGGGTAAGCGGTCTTCAGCTAAGAGCTGGATATTAATAGAGGACAGAGCCATATCAAAAATTTGCAGCTCCCCTTGGTTGCTGCCAACAAGCAGAATAGCACCACTTGGGTGGCAGCTTATTAATGAAGGCAAAAGTTCAGCCTGGGCCAAGAGAGTCACTCTGCGGTGAGCTTCATAAAGAACTATTGAAGAATCTTCACAGCCCAGAATCAGTTTGTCTTCAGCAACATTTCTGCAGCAGCTGATGGCTTTTGATCTTAGTGGTATTCTGGTGACTGATACACAATGGATTTTGTTCCGAACACATTCATAGATACAGCTGTCAGCCATGGGTTCTTTGTCTACACTGATGGTATGTTCCACTGTGAACACCTGATAAGGCTGTCTGGCACCAAAGCAAACATCCAGTGGATCCCATTCTGTGCGAATAGAACTCAGAACCTATAAGAAATGCATCAAGACAGACTGGTTTTTCTTCAGCTGTCACATGCCATACTTTATACTAATTCAGAAACCCACCAAAGACTATCAATCACCACCTTAAATATAAGCAACATACAAACCTATGATAGTGTATATATAGCACATATACATCTCATTTAGAAGACAGATAAATATATAAAACATGGCTACAGGAATTATACCATAAGATTTTAACTTTAACACTTGGCTTTGGAAAATCTGTACATCATTTCAAGTTAAATATGTTCTACAATATATAAAAACCAACGAGTAGGGCTGTTGGGCAGAATAACTTCAAAAGCTAGAAGTTAGGAAGGATAAAGCAAGGATTTTAGAGGATTAGTTAACCTCCTTATCATTTATCACTCTTCCCAATTCTGAAATTACTAATAAATTAGTTATCAGAATTATATTTCTAGTTAGTAGGGCTGGATAGGCAAAGAAAAAAAAAACAGAATTGTGTCAACAGTCTTATGGAATTATTTTGCTATTAGAAAGGATATAAAGGATTGCTAAGTATTTACAAACAGAAAGAAATGATGTACTGATTTTAAAATAAAAGACATTAAGACCTAGTAAATAATATAACTTGTCAATATTAGTGAAGTAAAACTTGAAAAACATCTTTAGTGTACAGAAGAAAGGCTACCTGTCTATAAGAAACACCAATGTAGAACAAACAATAAAATCACAGGTCGTTCACTTTATTCATATATAAATGATGGGAGACCAGTAATAAACAGGATATTTCCTAACATTTTGTCAGAAACTTTAAAATCAGATGTAGAAACATTAAATAACATGTGATAAGACTTCATAGAACTGCACACAAAAAATACATGCAAAATTTCATTAAATTTGACTAAGGTCTGTGCCTAAGTTAATAGTATTAAACCAAGCTTCCTTCTCAGTATGAGACAATGTACTGCAGTAATACAGAAGATTACCACTGAAGGGAAAGTACACAAAGAGAACTTGTTATACTATTTTAACAATTTCTTGTGAGTCAAATGATTTCAAAACTAAAGGTGGTCTAAAACAAAATGTACATATAGCTACATTACAGAATGCTGAATTGGGAAGAGGGATGGGGGTTGATGTGCCTTTTTAAAAATTCATTTACACATCACCACCAACTTAATCTTTTAAACCAAGTATGTTTCATTCTCCTGTTCAAACTTTTCAATGGCAAACCGGTTACTAATGAATCAAAATTAGTATACTTGTCTGATATGCAAAATACTGTAGGACCCATATTCAACTCCTTCCTTCCCATATAACCCTGCTGTTCATTATGGCTTGTGTCTAGATGTTCCCCCAAAGCCTCATGCAGTCATAGGTAGGGCTTTTTCAAAGGTGGCTGAATCTGTAGTGTGTGACTGATTTATGGTGCAATGCTAGGATTAAGGGTGCTAGGATTAAGGGTGGTTGAATACATTATCAGTCCACTGATTGGTTTGGTACCACCTCAATACCAGTAGTTTGGATAAAACATAAGGGACAGAAAAGAGGACTGTCTGATTCCTTCTTGCTTTGCTATGTTCTGCCCACCATGAACTGTTGCCATGTGACACTCTGCCTTGGAGCCAGCCAATTATGGACTGAAACTTCTACAAACTGTGAGCTAAATAAACCTTTCCCCCTTTACCTTTAGTTGTTGGGTATTTTGTTGCTGAGAGAAAAGTAACTAAGCTTATTTTCCTTTTTTCCTCCAGTAAATATCTGTGTCTGAGTAGTGTGCCAGGTATTGATCCTGGGAATATAAGTGAGTATATCCTCTTCTCAGGGGGACATATGCTTCAAGGGGGAAAAAAGTAGTGTCTTGTCCTAATCCACTGAAAGGGTTCATGAGTGACACACCTCTAATAAGAGATACAGAGCCAAGGAAGAAACATAGCTAAATTACTTAACCAGTTCTATGTGACATGAGAGGCTTCAGTTAGGAAGACCCAAAGACCCAAGGAAAACTACACTTTATGCTTAGGTTTGATAAAAATGGACAGTTGTGTAGAAGTATGATGGAACAAAAAGGAGATATCATTTAGTGGTAATGAACTGGAAGAAACTTGGAAAGGCCTGATGTTTTGTGTGTGTGTGTGTGCCTGTCTGTCTTCATTTCTTTCTTCTAGATAGAGGGGAGGATATCTGTCACAAAAGGATCTTGTGGCATACTTTCAGGGGAGGTAGGTCATATAATTATTTCTATGGTCTTGGGGAAAAGATGGAAGAAGGTCAGAGAAAGCAAAAGTGAAAGCCAGAGAGATCTTTCTGCTTCTGGTGTTTTCTCAATTTCCTTCAACATAAAATATTCAGTCTACCTCAAGTGCCAGATTTTGGGGTAGCATTTCCTGTACTCAATCATACTGTATTACCCAAAGAGAAGGCAATGATTAACAAGTAAATATATATATATATATATATTTCTTATATGTGTATGACCTAAGTACTGTGAAGTAAAACACAGCAGATTAAGTGGCTGAGGCGTGGCAGAAGATGTCAGGACAGGCCTCTCCATTAAAGATGATCTGAAAGACAGGGGAACCATAGTCATCTGGGAGAAGAGTGCTCCAAGCCTCTAATATAGGAGCTCTGTGGGCCTGATGAAGGACCCAATATGGCTAGAGGAGGAGGAGCAAAGTAGAGAGTAGTGGGATATAGAAATTGAAGAGTAGAGGGAATAGTGAGTAGTAGCTTGTAGAGCAGTAAGGACTTGACATTTTTCTCTAAACAGGTGAGAAGCCATATATAAGTTTTAAGCAAAGGAAGACTATCATCTGACCTGCAAACTCTAGTTTTAATCTCCTCCAGTCTCCCCTCACATACTCTATTCTGAATTTCAACTAAAACCTGCCCTCATTTTCCCAGCTCTATTGCTTCATTTATATTCTTTGTCTGAAATGCACTCTTCAGTCACAGAGACTCAGTTTTTCCTACCAATCATACTTACCCTTAAAGAACTAGACTAAAAGTATCCTTTCAGGTTTTCTGGATTCCTTCCAGCTGGGTGACATCTTTAATCCCACCTCCTTATCCCCTTCTAGGCCCCATCTTGGCCAATGCCTCTTGTGATATTTAGTCTTCTATTTGATTCTGATGTTTAATCATATGTCTTCATTTTCACTACAAGCTTAAAAGATAAACTGTCTTGTGTATTCTACACCTTTTTTTTTTTTAACCTGTGTAACACAAGCCCAAAACTGTGCTGCTGGTAAGCACATAATAAATATTTTAGAACAATGACTTTTGAAAAACAAAACACTGTAATGCGGATTGAAATATCATACCTTCAGAAAGCTTAAAGTTTTGTAAAAAAAAAAAAAAAGAAAAAAGAAAACTGAGAGGCCAGATAATACCAAGTAGACCCTGTATTCTCACACAGGGACAGCCTGAACAGAGGCTCAGCCAGGTGGTAGTCTTGGCCTGGAATGAGTTAGACCACAGTCCCGGGAAAGAGTCTCAAGCTTCCTGTTTCCAAAAGTTTGTGAGATCTTGGCTAATGGGCTCAGTAGATTCTTGAAGAAAAAGGGAGAAGGGAATAAAATCATGGACCACATGTTACCACCTTACTGATGATGTCAATCCCAGCTTACTCTAAAATGGTAGCTAAGGTCACAGAATAGCTTGCTGTCTCCCCAACTGTCTGTGTAATTATGTGATTATATATGGGTAAGATTTAAGCAATTAAAATGTTTTGTACAGTATAGTTTAAAAACACCATGGATTAGGGTATAGCTCAATGGTAGAACACTTGCCTGGGCCCTGAGTTCAATCCCTAGAAAAGGAAAAGAAAAAAAAAAATTTCCATAAAAATTTAAAGATTAAAAAACACTTGGGCTGGGGATTTAGCTCAGTGGTTCTGCCGCCTGCCTCGCAAGCGCAAGGTTCCAAGTTCGAGCCCCAGTACCAAAAATACCCCCCAAAACAAAAAACACTTAAGATGAATAAGTGTCAGTAAAAAATAAACCCACCATAGTAAATAAGAAAATAGGGTACTGTGCTACTCACTTTCCATACACTGTCTTATTTAATTTTTTCAATACTCCAAGGTTCAGTATTACAATCTATATCCTAGAGTTAAGGAAAATGAAGCTCAGAGAGATGGTTTAAATTGCTTGCTCTTGGTCTTAAATAATAGATTTGAAGTTTGAATCTAGGTCTTACTCTAAACACTCTAAAGACTCTGCAGGGCACACTGTCTAGCAAGCACAGGTAGTTTATAACTTTATAAGACTAAATCAGCTTTTCCTCTATATGATCTGAGAGAAAAAATGAAAAGTACTGGATATTTAGAACCTTAAGAGTTGAGGAAGGATCCTTGAAGAGGGAAGAGTTGGAAAAAGGTAAAAGGACTAAAAACATAAATTATGCAACTCATAGGTGAGAAAAAAGAAAGCTTACGCTGAACTGTTTTGTCAGGTAGTGAATACTAATAACAACTTTTCTTTGCATGACTGAGGAAGTTTGGGAGGGAGTGTCTTCATAAACTGACTTCTTTTAAAAATGCCTCACTGTTGGATGGATTGAGTTGTACTGAAAATAGAGAGCATGCTTTATAAATGGAAATGGAAAAATATCCCTAAAATGAACCAAATAAAAACAAAACCATCTTCTCAATACAAAAATTATACAAATATAATTTGCACAAATATTGCTACTTTCCTTTTTACCAAGATGGCGCCGAAGGCAAAGAAAGAAGCTCCTGCCCTTCCCAAAGATGAAGCCAAAGCAAAAGCTTTGAAAGCCAAGAAAGCAGTGCTGAAAGGCATCCAGAGCCACAAAAAGAAGAAAATCCGCATGTCACTCACCTTCCGCCTTCCCAAGACACTGCGGCTCCAGCGGCAGCCGAAATACCCTCGGAAAAGCGTCCCCCAGGAGAAACAAGCTTGACCACTATGCCATCATCAAGTTCCCCCTGACCACAGAGTCAGCCATGAAGAAGATAGAGGACAACAACACACTCGTATTCATTGTGGATGTCA